ATAAAGAGAACCCGTGTAAACTTGTGAATAGTGAGCTAATACAGAGAAAAGGTTTATTCCATATATCTTTCCTTTCAAGTTTATAAATATAATTCTTAAACCTTTTATAAGGACAACCTCTGTTGTTGCCTTTGACTAACAGATTGTGTCAGGACATATCAATTGAGACATAATGGAAGGGCTAAAGAAAGCAGGAAATTTATAAAAAGGTTTCTGTTTGTGTTTTTTCAAAAAAACCCGTTTTATTGAATTGTGTTGTAAGTAGTAGTGTAACTATACATTTTGGGCCCTATGTGTGACGTTGAAAAAAATTCATGACCACTACAACCTATTCCATTATGTTATACAAGCCAAATTTCCTCATATATCACATGGGCAACCACAGCCGTGGCAATGGTTGTGAACCATGATCTCATGTAATTTGGGACGATATTTTCATTTTTACCTTAAACTCTGGTCATTCTCAAGGATAAATTATTTCAAGGAAGTCTAAGTAAATTATAAATAAATAAATAAAGAATATATATTTCGTTATTGAAACAACAAGATTCACAAATTCAGACAGAGGGGGTTGAGCAATCGAGTAACAAAGTTGGTTAAAGAAATGTAGAGGTTGTTGTCAGGGGCTTTTTTGTTATTACTTATATAATGTTGGGGGCTTATGTGTAATTTCTGAAACTTGTTAGCATAAATACAATGTGATGGAAGGATGAAAGTATTCTTTCATTCTTTCTCTTTCCCCATCTTTCTCTCTTTTTCTCTCCTCCTCTTCTTTCTTTTCTTCATCTTCTACTTTATTGTTGTTTTGATTCTCTTAAAGACAACATGGTATCAGAGTATGGTTTGTAAAGCTCCAAGGTGTGCAGTTGAAACCCTAGGGCAAGTTTGTATAAACCCTATTGGGGGTAAAGGGTTTTGAAGAGATTCCAAGATGGGATTTGTTTCCAAGGAAGTAGTGTTAATTGCAAGGAAGTGGTGGGTGTGAAGGGTTTGGGTCACTGAGTAGCATTCTCTACAGTTATAAATTTAGTTCTTGATTCGTGAAAGTTCTTCCCTCCGTGAACGTAGCCCTAGTTTTGGGTGAACCACGTAAATATCGTGTGTTGTGCTTTATTGATGTATGATTGTATCTCCTGTTAGGGTAGCGTAAGCGCAGGAATAACAACGATCCAATGAAAGCCAACAAAGCAATCACACACAAACACAAAATATAATGTGGTTCAGCCAAAGCCGGCCTACATCCATAGATGAGAAGAGATTCCACTATATTTCGTAAAGATATTACAACACTAGAGTACCAATACCGTCGTTTACACGCCTTGTCATCATGTACACTCCACGAGCCTATCTCCTCGCTACCAGTATTGTAGGTGTTTTTCATACTCTACCGACCCATAAACTACCTCTACCCATCAACTATTTTGTGAGACTACATCTCTCTCAATCTCAATCTCACGAGTCTTAACCCATAACCTAGGTATCTATTTATAAAGTTCCAAACTCAATTCCTTGTTGGACAAGGATTACAATTTCTTAGAAGCCAAGACTTGTCAAACAAGAAATTATCTAATAGAATACAACCCTAAAATATAAACTAATTAGCATAGGAATTTGAGACACAATTTCCAACAATCTCCACCTTGGCTCAAATTCAAGGTGGAGATTGTTAGGGCAGCGGAAGCGCAGGAATAACCTTAGTCATCATATTTGTTGGGGTAGCGGAAGCGCGAGAATAACAATGATCAAAGCCAACAAAACAATCACACACAAACAAAAGAATACAAGATATAACGTGGTTCAACCAAAATCGGCCTACATTCACGGATGTGAAGATATTCCACTAAAATTAGTATAGATATTACAACAAATTGGTATCAGAGCCAAAGGTGAAGGAGATCCAGAAAACACGAGTCTCAACATGTGCTGTAACGACTTTCAGTTGCAGGTGGAGTCAACCGACTTCGTTGGTCACAATGATCAAAAAATTATGATGGGTTACATCAGCTAGAGCAGTCAAGGGAGAGCCTTAGAGGTTTGACAGATTGTGCAACGTACAGTGTGGACAATGATAGTTTTGCAAAAAGATCGTCAAGATTGAAGCTGAAATGAATTGCCCTGATCAATGCCGTGGGAAGCGATGATTGGCCAGATGGAATTTGAGACACTATTTCCAGCATCCCCATATATTCATGTTTCATGTGATGTGATGATATGCTTCCGATGTGCTTGAAGAAGGGGGATTGGATTCCCAACAACTAATATTAAAGCTAGTTGGAGGGAGTTAAAATTCCTAACACTATATGCTTATTATTGTTATAGACTAATGGATTTTTATGTCTACTATCATATAAACTTAAATTCCTACTAAATTAAATTCAAAAGGTTGTTAAAATTCGGTATTCAGTTTTACAAGGCTTATCCACCTCCTCCTCTCTTGCGCACAACTCTCCATCATAGCCAGGTTCCGGTCCTTACTATTACGTGTAAACCTTATTTTGTTCTCAATTATGAGCTAAGAGATGGGCCATTCGCTTGGAAACTAACATATACCACTCTAATAAATTTATGTAATACTATTTCTTAACCAATGAATAGTGATTCCTAAACGGATATATGGATACATATAAGGAGGTATATGTGGATTGATGACTATCAAGGAAAATAAAGAGATCCTTGTAAATTGGTCATCAGATAAGATGATTATATGACCTTTATGATGTCACGTTAAACTTTGCATTGCCAACCGCTGATGAGCTATGTACATGCATGATTGGATTTAATAATGATTATTATATAATGTACATATAGATCTTCAACATAGAATCTACGTATGAAGTTATTCCAACACTTCCTAATAAATTGGGAATAAAAGCCCATAATTGCAAACATGTCCCCCAATATACTTACAAAGAAAGATTAGATAGTAGTTTATTTACAAGCAAGTCTCTTCCGAGCATTTGTTTGCTATTAGGTCCTTCCACTTTTCTTTATTCCAATAAAGCTATAGGGATAATAATTTATTTTACTGTCACCCTTGTAGACTTAGATTTAATTATAAATGGTAATTAGACGTATATAATGTTTTAATGAACATTTTGATAAGTTATATATTCAACTAATATATAAATTATCAACTAATATTAATGAAAGCTTCATCAAATCATACCGATTGGATTTAATAAGTCCAATCTATTTAAGGAGATAATTATGGAATAAAATCTAATGAAGACTATTAATTTGTTTCTAGTTAGAGAACGTTAGGGCTCATAACTAGAAAGCCGATTCCCTAGAGATCCCATGGATGAGCTCTCTCAAAGGCAGAATTTTCTTGCGATAGAGAGGAAGGTCACAGTAGAAATACAATATAGAAGAAACAGAAGAGAAATATGTACAAGGTTTGAATGAGATAAATCACTCATTCACAGCTCTAGAATTTATAGATAAAGAAAGGAAATTAAATCAAATCACAGCATATTCTAAAGCATATTCTATAGCATAATTAAATCTCTACTAATATGGTAAGTCATTCCATAAATTGTGGCTATCATATCTACTAACACTCCCCCTCAAGTTGGTGCGTGGATATCTAAAACGCCCAACTTGGACAATGCATTCCTAAACACAATCTTGCCGACGCCCTCTGTAAGCATGTCTACAGATGAAGTGCTGATCAACAAATCTAAAATGTCTCCGCAAACCAAAAAACAATTAACAATGTCTCCTCAGACCATAAACAACCAATCATCTCCTCAAACAGTGAACAACCAATCATATCTCCTCAGACCGTAAATAGCCAACAATGTCTCCTCAGACCATTTCCCTTCATTCACATGTTTAAAACATGTAGATGGAAGAATCAACAATGTCTCCTCAGACCATCCCCCTTCATACATATGTTTAAACAATGTAGATGAAAGAATCAACAATGTCTCCTCAAACCATAAAAAGAAACAAATATGTCTCCTCACACCATTTCTGAATAGGTGGTACCAAACTCGCAACGCCTTCATTGAAATCGGAACACCCTGTCTACCTAACACGTCCCGAATGGGCGATGTCACCTAAGACCATTCCCAAATGGGTGGTGCCGAACTCGCAATGCCCTCATTGCAGTCGGACCACCCTGGCTCTGACACCAAGTAGAAATACAATATAAAAGAAAGAGAAGAGAAATATGTAAAAAGTTTGAATGAGATCAAACACTCATTCACAACTATAGAATTTATAGATAAAAAGAGCACATGCTCATTTTACAAGAAAGAAATTAAATCAAATCTAAATCAAATCAGAGCATATTATAAAGCATATTCTATAGCATAATTAAATCTCTGCTAATATGGTAAGTCATTCCATAAATCGTGGCTATCATATCTGCTAACAGTCACCATCTCCCTGTTCATGAATTTTGTTGAGAAAAAACTCAAAGAAGAGACCCGTGAATCAAATAGGAGGCAGAAAGCTTGAGGTACTAAAAGAAATCCAAAGAGTGTTATTGTGAATCAAATTATTTACAAATCATTTAAGGTATGTTTTGTTTATTCAATTAAAATCATGTGATTAAGATCGGCAAATAAATTTAAAATTTTGCTTCCGCTACCTACATTAACACCACAAACCCATATTTGGAACCCATAGCGATACACTATGTCCAACTTAAAAGCTACAGAATTACTGGACGACATATTGTGTTAGTTCTAAAGGCTTTCTTAAAATTCAAGAAACAACATATCAAGACATAAAATGCAATAGTATGTAAGTGATTCCCATTTATACAATTATCATTTCATATGGATCCATTTTATTGCTAAATTTGCATACGCAGCAAAGCGAAAATAGATTTTATTCAAGTCAGCCAGAAAAAAAGGTGCACGAACCCATTCAAAAAGAAACTAGTGGATCCAGACAGAAGGGAAGGTTTGGTATATTACTAGAATATATACTCCATCAGTAGCAGTAAAATGAGATGACATGCGTAACACAAAAAAGAAAGAGCAATTTACCGGGTCAGCAAAAAGGTTAAACAAGAAAGGTTGCACATCATTTAGAGTTTCTGGACCTCCAAGATTCAGCAATAACACTCCTATCTTCTGGTCACCGGTAAGAGGTGCACTGGATATATCTTGAGTATTTGAAGTCAATAATGCTCCCGATGGCAATGAATAACTTTTCACCGGTTGTTTTGAGTCTTTTGAAAACCAAGATTGTGTTTGAGACCACCCAGGAAAATATCTGGCAACTACGGAAGTTTTCGAGAGATTAGAACTAGAACAAGCCTCGAATTGAATCCCAAAGCAACGAGATATCCTTTGGGAGGTACAAATTGCCCCTGGCAATAGCCTATGAGAGAAAAGACAAGAGTACATAAATAGCACTCGCTATAACTCATTCATCGGATACTAAACAACATTATTACATACTACAGAAATTCATCTTATGACAGAATATGAACACACTAGGTGTGGCAATAGCATATGAGAGAAAAGAACATAAAAGTATATAAAATCGCATTCAAAATGACTCCTGCATCTAATAATAAAATTTATCATATATCATGGAATTATCCACTGCCGATGACAGCACCAAAGTGAAACCATTATTGCAGCATTCTTCTCATAAACATATATGACATTTTTCAATGCAACAAACATGCATGATGAAACCAAATAAATTGAACAGGAAAAAGTATTAAACAGTTATCATAAATTACATACCTATATACACATAGAAGAAGAGTACAAGATTATTATATTAAGTTGGAAAAATACATACATATATACATATAGAACAAAAGTACAAGATTATTATATTAAGTTGAAAACTTACCTGAGTAAAAAATAAAAATAAAAAGAAGAAGAAGAAGAAGAAGAAGAAGAAAGTTTTGATCATTCAAGAAAAACTAATTAGAAGGAAGACAACAAAGCATGAGAGCTAAAACAATCTAAAAAGATAGATAAACCCATATTTTTATAACATGAAAATCCCACAATATATATATATATATATGTAATGACCAGGATTTTATTTCTTTTTTTTTTTCACATTTTTTGTTTTGCGTGCATTGTATATTTCTTATGTGTGGGGATGCGTGCCACGGGTTTCCGGGATCCATTTAGACATTTTCTTCAAGTCAAGAACTCTTAGAAACACATTTAGAGTCATTATATTCATTTCGGGTTTGTGGGCCCGGGTTGGATTCCGCATTCGGAAATATTTCCGAAGCCACTTCCACCAAGAATTTGAAGAAGCTGTAGTTGAAAAAAAGGAAGACCAAGTCCTAAGCTACCTTTCCATGGTCTTAGATTTTATTTTGGGGCATTTTCAGCTTGGGACAGATTAGGGCTTTTGGTTTCCTTTGAGGTAGGGTTGTCTAACTAATGAGTTTCCTTGGTTTATGTAAGTGATTGTATGTTTTTCCCCTTACTTAGCATGCTATTGTAGGTAGATGTTGTACATAATGCTTGTAAGTTTACTATTATGTGTGTAACCCTTGTTTATTGTGATGTAAATTGGTGAATTCTCATTTCTCTAAGTTTTCCTTGAACAATAGCATGATTTAGGTAGGTTAATTTTGTTGTGGTTGCATATAAGCTACATGTATGTTTTCAAGTTGAACTTGAGCATGCATGTTTATGTCTTCTTATCCTAGCTTGCACATGACTACATGCTGGAAAATTTAGTAATTGCTGGAAATTCTGGAAATTAAGATTTATTGCTGGAAATTAAGATTAATTGCTGGAAAATCCCATTTAGGTGCTAGAAATTATATGTATAGGTGCTGTAATTTATATTTACAGTGCTGAAAGTTATATTTAAGTGCTGGAAATTATAGGAAGGTGCTGGAAATTATGTAAACGGATGAATTGTTTAATCTTGATGTTATAATTGGATTCAACATGTACAATTGTGTTAGTTGTGTGCTAGCATGCTATGTGTTTGTCAAAATGTCCCATTTTGCAAGCATGTATTAGAAGTGAAAGTTAGCATGTACAATTGTGATAGTTATGATACTTAAAAGTGCTACATATGTATGTTGCCCATGATGATATCATGATTGTCAATTTAATCCAATCCACAATGTTTTCCTTGAGCAAATTGTGCTCACCTATGTACTAGCATGCCTTGCGTTTGTCAAAATGCCTACTTGAAGGTTATCTTTGCTGCATTTCTGAAGCATGTATTAACATAGTTCTTTGGTTACTATTCACATTCCATTGCATAGAGTGTGTGTGTTGTGGAAGACAAGTGTGAGTATTGAGTTTCACAAGTTTGTGAAGATGATTTTCCTAAGTTTGTGGAAAATGCTTTGAAAATGGGATTGGTTGTGGTTAAATAGGAAGGGCGTGGCTCTAGGGTTAAAAATCCCAACACTTGGCCAAGCGGGTGTCGTTACCAACGGGCTAGTAACCCGTGAAGCGAGGGTAGGGATATGGGGAGATACCCCACATTTGGTGGTGAACCAATCCGTGTGTTTGAGTTGATTTTTGGATCACAAGGTTGTGTTATGTGTGTGAGTCTATGTGGGGACTTCATAATGCATAGGTGTGCATTAGTATATGATTTGGATGGTGTTTCTAAAGCTATGTTGTTTGAATTATGTTGTAGTACAAGCGTGTCATCGTTATGTTACTCTTTGGAATTTGTGGTAACTTGTACATATACTCTTACTTCTATCCCCAAAGCATCATCCCTTCTTCTTTGTTTCACTATGTGCTATGTGAGCATGACTTATGTGACTTTAGGAAGTATTAGTTAGCCACCATCTACTGAGCATTTTAAGCTCACCCGTTGACAACATTTCAGGTAAAGGGTTGGCGGTTGAAGACAGTCCACAATCTCAACCTTGAAGTTACTTATGGAGCTTTGGACTCATTTTTGGTTTTGGTCTTGTATTTTTGGTAGATCTCGATGTTACACCTGAAGTAATATGTTACTTGATGTTAAGCATGTAATGTTTGCTGGCTATGTTCATTTTGGAAACACCTGTACATTTTTGAGATATGGTATGTAAAGGGCATAGTTAAGGCCATGTTGGCTCACGGACCGGGTCCTATGGATTCGGGTCGTGACAATATAAATATATATATATATATATATACACATATATATGTATCCTAACACATTATTTTTTTTATTTTTTATTTTTTGAAAAGTCCTAACACATTATTATATCTGTTGGCCATTTCTACAAAAATTGAATTAATTTGTTGTGCAACACTTCGAAACTAAATGAGCCTATTATGATTTTCCTCAATTAAATGTACAAATCTTTATCATAATTCGTTGAAAATAATGCAGTCATAGTGATGTGTCCATCTTAAACCATCTGTGTGTCTGTCCCTAAACAATGCAGTTTCTATGCATGAGGTATCCAATCATTCTCTCAACGATTCCTACCACATCCTAAGGAAAGGTTACTTATGTCTTGTGATACCAAGAATTACCAATTGTAAAAAATTAAAAACAGACAATTGCAACACTATGTAGATGACTTGGGTAAAAAAACACTATGTAGATGCAGCATAATTAATAATTTAGCTGATGTCTTAGATTTGTTTTTAAAACAACCCATAACAACTGAGTTGGGCCTGAAAATCTAACGCCGGGCCCACCAAACTTACAATAATAGTCGTATGGATGGTTCGCCTTTGCACCTACACATTCAGAAACGTAACATACCTTAAGACCTTTAACCACATTCAACAAATCTAGCCAGTAAGGTCATTTTTCTGTAGCAGCCCTTTCAGTTGAGTTGAGGTTTTTGTTGTCAGGGGCTTATTTGTTATTACTTATATAATGTTGGGTGCTTATGTGTAATTTCTGAATCCTGTTAGTATAAATAGAATGTGGTGGAAGGATGAAATTATTCTTTCATTCTATCTCTTTCCCCGTCTCTCACTCTTTTTCTCTCCTCCTCTCTCCTCTTTTGCTGTTTTTTTTTTTTTTTTTTTTTTTTTTTTTTTTTTTTTTTTTTTGATAAGTAAAATGTGTTAGAAAGCGTTCAAACAGGGCACGCATCCTAAGAGCTATACAAAGACTGAAGCCAGAGACAAGGTCCTAAGGACACACCGAACCCAAAACATCAATAAACTCATCAATGGATATACAATTTCTCCCCAAAACACAACTAAAAAGAGAAATAACAATATAAAACTTCAAAGCCCACAAGGAAGATTCCTCCCCTTCAAAAGATCTTCGATTCCGCTCCTTCCATAAGCACCATCAAACACAAAGGGGAACCACCATCCAACACTCATGGGCGTGGGCACCCACACTATAGCCTCACCAAGCATCAATCAAACCCCTCGAGGACTGAGGCATAACCCAATGGATGCCGAAAAGGCCAAAGATAAGGCTCCAATAGTCGTGAGCTACAGGGCAATGCAAAAGAAGGTGATCCACAGACTCGCCACTCCACTTGCACAAACAGCACCAATTGACTGTAATCTGTCTTCTCTTTCTCAAATTATCCGGGATCAAAATCTTGCCCCAAACAATAGTCCAGACAAAGAAGGCCACTCCGAGGGGAGCCTTGGAATGCCATATCGTCTTCCAAGTGAAATTAGAACCTTGAAAATCAGAGAGACAACGGAATAGGGAACGAACCTCGAATCTCCCCTGGGAGGAAGGCACCCAAACCAGAGAGTTAGTGTCACTACCATCCACCTCATGTTTATACAACAGCTCCAACAAACCTGAAACCTCATCCAACTCCCAATCCTGAAAAGAACGCCTAAAACACACATCCCACGCCAGCCTACCGTTATCGAGCCAATACCAGTCGGCCAAACCTGAAACCTCATCCAACTCCCAATCCTGAAAAGAACGCCTAAAACACACATCCCACGCCAGCCTACCGTTATCGAGCCAATACCAGTCGGCCATCAAAGAATGCCTATCCACGGCAATCCGGAAAAGTCTGGGAAAGGAACGAGCTAACGGGCGATCACCACACCATAAATCCAACCAGAACCGAACTCCCCTGCCATCCCGCACTCTGAATCTAATATGTTTAAAAAATTCATCCTCCCTTACGAATGAATTTCCAAACACCCACACTTCCAACAAATTTGACTGGATCAAAGGACCACTCGCCTCTCTCCTCCCTGTAGCGGCACACAACCACCTTCCTCCAAAGACGATGGCGCTCACTTCCAAATCTCAACCACTTTCCCAGAAGAGCCATGTTGAAAAGGGCCAACCTCCTAATTCCCAGACCTCCCAAAGGAATTGGCCTGCACACTTGATCCCAACGAACAAGATAATACTTGAATTCCTCCCCCTGTCCACCCCGGAAGTTCCGTTAAAGTCTATCAATCCTTTCAACTACAGAGGCAGGA